GGGGCTGGGGGCTGGGGGGGTGCATAACAAATATCGTTACACAGCAGGCTGTGATGTGATTAATGCACTTGATGTCACGGCTCTGCAAGCAGAGAGTCTTGAAAGTAGCCGGCCACAGGAGCACTCACACCCAGGCAGGCATCAATTTCCAAGCCATGGAAGATTACGGCACAGTCAAAACAAGAAAATGAACATAACATACGCTTCCAATTGATTCTCGAACAAAAGTCAATTCGTCACCAGGATAAAGTCTCAAAACATTCCTCAGCATCTGTATTCTGAGTACCAAGATCAGTATCCATGTTTTCCAGCATCAACTTTGCCAAATCCTCGCCTCTCTTTGAAAGGGAGGCTGCCTATGAGTTATTTGGTTTCCCCGCTTATGATTCTCCCATTGTCACCAACATTGATATTCAAACTGTCCATGACATCAGGGTTCATGATGTAAGAAACGAACCAAGTGTTTGCGATTTGCAAACATCGGGCTTCAAATTTATCAAGCATAAGTCAAATGTTCCACTACTTGCTTACCATTTCGAAAGCGCCAACGGCAAAACGGGCAATGCTCAGGTCGTTATGGACTACCTTGAGGAGGCCATCACCTTAGTGAAAACACATCTGTCCACTGACAAGGTCATCTGTTTTGATTGGAGAGTATGTATAACTGCCAACTCAGAGAATCACTGACTGATGAAACGCTCAAAGATGCGACGCAGTGATGTCCCGCACCTTCAAGCTGATGTGCTTGAGAGGTTTTCCGATGTTCATGCAATCCGGAGTCAGGCCATCCCGCCAGGACTGACAGTCCATTGCGGTAAGATGAATCCACGTCCTCGACACATTCTTCAAACGTAACGAGCATCTAGACTTCTCCCAGGACGGTGGTCGCGAACGCATGGAGATGCATCTTCTCCCTGAAGAGCTCGAGGCCATCAACAGTGGCAAAGTCAAGGCCAAGATAGTCAAGTGTGTCTGAGCGTGATTTATTGACTTAGAAAGACTTCACTAACCATGAGTATAGTGTTTGGAGGCCTCTTGATGTCGTCAAATGCGCCCCATTGATCCTTGCTGACCGACGCACTGTCAAGAGAACTGATGTTTTTGAGGTTCAGAAAGTCTTACCGGACAAGCTCGAGAAAGCCTATTACCTCAACCATGAGCCGTATCAAAAGTGGTACTATATGTCAGATCAAGGTCCAGAAGATGTCGCTATATTCATTACGTGGGATGAACGAAATGATCTCGAGTTTGCAGGTATGATGTCCTTTGAATTTGTAATCATAGCTCGAAATCAAACACTGACAGTTCCATAGATTGCTCGCCTCACGGTGCAGCCTCGTCCTATCTTGGATCAAACCCAAGGGAGAGCATTGAAGTACGATTTATAGTGTTCTATGATGTAGTGGAGCAGTGAAATTTTATCTTGAGTCTTTGAACTATCTCCTACATCTTTATCTAATAAGCTACCGTTATCACTGGATTTTAACACTTGCCACTTATATTGAGTATCAAATAAATCATGTAAATAAATAAACACTAAGCAAAATGAGCGCGGAAATTCCATCCTAGAAGAACGAGTGGATGAGATTTTGAGAACAAGAGGTATCCCAAATTGATAACGCGCGATCCATTCTTCTCATGTGGTCAATATCAACAGTTCACAGCTAAAGCCTATTAGCAAGATCCGAGTGTAACACTACGTCAAGAATCTACATACCCTTCATCGACTCTTGCCATCCAGCTCCTTAAGCAGTCGAATATCTGATCTGCCGCTAGAGTTGGCTGTCTTCGAGAGCTCCTCGCGTGTAGGGAACTGGAAATTCGCGACCATTTCCCTCCAGGGCTCTGCCTTTGGGGCCTGAGCTTGGGGAGCACTGTTGACAGGTTCCTGGCTGCCAACTAACTCGAAGCTGCTTCGTGAACTCGACATTCTTTTTCCGAGCGATGACTGGATTCCGGGTATAGTGTGTAAGTTGACAAAGGAGTTGAAAAAAGAGAATGTCTGATTATGCACGTACTCCAGGAAAGGCCTTTATACCTATTGGGAGGCAGGAGAGGTAGGGCACATGAGTCCAGTGACTCCAGTCGTACCTATATGGATGAGATCATTAAAGTGGGCTGGTTAGACACATGAGAGACTTGTCGATTTTCGGATGCGCAGTATACTGGCTTGTTTTGCCGAGCCTGATCTTTAGTTAGCCCATGTGCTATCATAACATCCCTGTCTTTTAGTTGCATGAAGGTGGGTGTATGGGCCAAGGGAGTATCTTTAGATAAATTACAATCAACAATCCTACCCACCCTTAAAGAAATTTTGGTTAATATAACTGGTAGCACCTTTAGGAACTAATTTATATACATTGTATACATCTGTGGGGATGACTGTTACCCGTGAGGTTATGCTGTAGGCTATGAATGTAGATAATAGATAATAACACAATATCTTTTTTTCTTAATATAAGCTTTTACCTATAAGCTTTTATAAAAGCTAATAAATCTTTCTGCAAGGCCTAGGGTATTACAAAGGGAAAAGGCATATTATATCCATCTATTGTTAGCACTATAGCTAGATAAGCTAAATAATACTGAGTTTAAGACCCCCAAACAGTCGTTGTCCCACTGGTCACAGTCACTGCATCCGGTGTATACACGTACGTAGCAACCGAAGTTAGCATCGTGGTATAATATTCAGTGACCGTGACACCATCCACATTCGTGATAACTACGGTATTATAATCCGTCTGAGCCATAGTATTAAACTTAGTAAAGTACAGTATGTTAAAGTTCGTAGCCTTAATAACATTAGTGTTCGTTACCATTACAGTGTTAACGTTTATAACCGTAATAGAAATAAGGTTATTAGTAGTTTAAAGAGGCTTTAGCCTTTAGTATATAA